CCCGCCTGCCTCTTTAGCCTAATACTGTGCCCTTCTGGCCATGTGCCTCTTACTCCTTCTGCTCCAGCCACAATGGCTGGTGTTCAATCCCTCAAACATGCCAAGTCATTTACCATTAGGTTTTTTTTTTTCACAAATTGTTCTCTTCCTAGAATTGCTTGGTGTGACCAACTCGGTCTCAGTTTTCAACCTCAGCTAAAGTTTCTGAAAAAGACTGTCTCAAACTTCCCAGCCTGAGAAGACGCCGTTCAGCTCCAGCACCCCATTCTTAACTCACACTCCATACACAAGGACGTCCCAAGTGCTTCCCCACAGCCTGCATTCGCTGTCATCAAAGTTCAACATGTTTGACAAACTAGAGCGCTGTCTCACTGCATTTTTAGTTTGCATGCCCTGCATCACTCCTAAGTGTGAGTAGCTGGAAATATGTCTGTTGCCCATCTGGATTTCCTACCCTGCGTCGTGTTGTTTTGTTCTTACCAAGCTTTGTGAGCCGTGTAGGCTGAGAGTGTCCTCTTCCAACCTTTCCATTGTAGTTTGCATTCTCTTCAAGAAGTGCTTTGATCAAAAATAAGTTCTGAATTTTAGGGTTACAAAATATGTTGCTTTCTAGTATAGAAATAGTGTCTGTATGTTCTTTCATATTTCTGCTTATAAAGGTACCTCAGAGTAAAACTCTTCTCTAGAGTGATCTGTTTGAAAATTCATCTTTTCATTCCTGAAAAAAAGATTTGAATAAATATGACAGTAATTTCTTCTCAGCGTACAGAGAAGAAACCTCCCTCATTCTTGGCTTTGATTATTATTGATAGGTTAAACTTCTGTGCAGTTTCTTCCCTTTATGATTTTATTTTGCTTTGCTTGGGTTTGGATTTTGAAAGGGTCTGCCTATGGAAGCCTGACTGGTGTAGGACTCACTTTGTAGCCCAAGCTAGCCAGGGACTTGGAGCCTTTCCTCAGCCTCTTGTGTGCTGAGATGACAGGCACCACACTCAGCTTCTTTGAAGGTTTTTGCCTTTTCTTTCTGGCTATCAACCCAGCTCTCCAAATTTCACATAAAAATTGTACTTGTGGATTCCCGAAACATGAAATTAGAATAGCAGATTTGTTGCATTTTATTTTGTGTTCTTTCTTGTGATTTTGTACTTAAAATCTTTACCTCATCTATCTTGTTATTTGCCTGTCATTCCTCTATCATAGAGGCACACCACCTACATTCCTCTTCAAGGATACATTTGATGCCTACCACTGGGAAGAACGGAGGTCAGCAAACACCTTTACTTTCAGAGAGCTTCTCCTTGGTCACATTCAAGGTAGCTTGCCGCCAGGACCTACGTGAGAATCAGGGCCATTTGGACCCAGTGTTAGATAGACAGTTTTCTCAGCAGTTCCTCCCTGGTAGGCTGTGTGGATTTTGCTAAAGCTTCATTGCAGCTCACCTTCTCCTTCTGTTTAGTCTTGCTTCCCCTTTCCTTTCAGAGTTGTTGATTTTAGCAAACATTTTATATCCCAAGGTTTGGTCTTTTGACTCCTTCTGATAGCCTCAGTCTGCAATATGTGTGTCTGTGTGAATGTGTTGTATATGTGTGCTCTGATGTTGCTTATGACAATATTAAAAATTAAAGTTTCGGGGGCAGTGTGGAGATACCTTTTTGGATAAAGTACTTAAGTGTGAAGATAATTCAAGATCCAGATCTTCCTCACCCGCATAAGACCCTCTGTAATTCAAGCACTGGGGAGGCTGAGACAGAATTCCGCAGAGGAAGATGGTTAACTAAACCACCTGAGTGGTGAGCTCTGGCTTCCAGTAAGAGATCCTGCCTCAAAATATAAAGTGGAGAGTCTTTGACCTCCACACACATGTGCATACTACACACACACACACACACACACACACACACACACACACACACACACTACATATACATAATTTTTTAAATCAGGTAAATTATATTTAGTAGAATTTATTTATGTAAGGAAATGCTTTATGAATACAGCCGTTCAGATTGAAAACAGTTCAAGAATGTTCAGGCTTCTTTAAAGCCATAGAAGAAGAAATACATACAGAAACAGCCTGATTGGCTGCAGTCCCAATTTGTTGTATATGGCAGGTTTCAGACTATGATTGGCTAGCAGTTCAGCAGCTCTGATTGGCTGAGACTCAACTGCTCCTACTTCTAGTTTGGGCACAGTCCTCTTTGATACAAACTCATTACATGCTAAGTTACAGTGCAGGATGCACAGAGAAACCCTTAAGCTAGAATTAAAATGTAGGTGGAAGTGGCTTTTAGCCAAACTTAATTCAATTTAACAGTACCATGTTTCCTTCTGTGTTTACATTCCTTGAAACTTTGTTGGAATTTTTTTTGAGACTTGTATTGAAATTGGTGGCTATTTTTTTTGAGGCTCTGTGGGAATTTATTACTGGATGGGTGGTGGATACCATTTGCCTAGGGGCATGGTGGACTTAAGAGAAAATTGAGTTAAAATTGTGTTCAAAATATCAATGTATCTGTGTATGAGAGGGGATTGTAGTTAAGACAGTCATGTTTTTAACTTTCCCTTTCTTCCCTGGGTTTGTTCCTGGTCTCAGCAAAGAAGACTGTGGCCTTACAGACCTCACTCTATGTGGCAGTCTCTTCACCTTGGGTGGGCTCAAGGCTTAATTTCCTGTTTCTCATGTCACTATGTAGCCCTCAGATGGAAAGGAAAGGTCATCGGAGTTCAATACATAGCTTCAGATCAAGGGTTTGGATCTTGGTTACTTTTTGTGGTTCCCAGGCTCTGTGTCTTACTTTGAAACTGGAAACTCCGGGATGGTTCCAAGTTTCAAAGTGAGATAGACTCCTCATTTTATTGCCAGCACGTTGATTCATTAAAATGTTATTTTCTTTTGGTTTATATTTATCCAGGCTTCATTTATTTTCCTTTTCTGAAAGGGGGCTTGGTCATTTCGGGTTTCTAAGACCTCCATATAGATGGAGATAAATGTCCATAGTCATAATGAAGTGGGCTTTACAGGAGAGGACTGCCTGAAGGGTGGGAAATCCCAATAGAGAGACAAGATAATCTCTGTCAATTGCAACACCAGGAATACAAAGTGCCTCAAGGAAGCATGACTCAAAAGTATGTCAGAGGCACACATCTGGAGGACTAGTCCCACAAACAGACACCAAGAAAGACACTCAGTTTTGCATGTTCAAAGATCAGAGACTGGAAAGTCTCAGATGGACATTCAAGAGCAATGCCCCAATGAATCATTGGGGGGAGAGTTATTAATGCCACGGACAGACAAAAACAAACAAACAAAACAAAAACCCAGCATGGTAGGGCATATGAGAAGAGTTCAAGCCCCAGCACCAAAGATGGGCAGCATGGTGGGACTGTAAAGACAGGAAATCGGGGGCCCACATGGCTGAAATGGGAGTCTCTTCTCATACATTTCTGAGGGTGAAGGCGATTGCACTGCAGGGCTCTCTCCTTCCCAGGAGGAATTCCTGCAGGAGGCAGAAAAATTGACAGGAGCAGGATGTAAGCTTTCTTTAATGTAAATTCACTTCCCTTGGGAAATCCTGGCACCTTGGAGTCTGCTAGCTGGAGATTCACAGGCAATGTCTCAGTAGATGCCTGTCAGTAAGAGGGGAAGGGCTGCTGCTGCAGGTATGGTGGCCTGAGTAGAAGCTGAATCTAGCACTACTGTTTTACAGGGACTACCACAGTGGTCTCTCCTCATCTATGGTTTTATGTTTTGCTCTAATAAGATTAAGATTTACCTCAACTCTTAATGAAATTATAATTGTTTGTAAGTGAATCAATGCAATGTGGAAACAAATATTTTTATTAACAGGAGAAAGCACTTACACACAAGCTTGGAAGATCAGAATCATGGCAGGCTTCCAAGAGAGCATGATTTTACTTCTGCTTTCCTTTTATCCTCACCTGTGCCCATCCCCTGTCCATGCCCCTTTGGGCATGGACAATATTGTGGTCTCACCCCTACATTTCCCCTTTAGTCTAAATAAAAGATTTAAACTTGATACAAAACTCAAATATATGCAACATATATACATAGAAGGTGATAAGCGAGTTATAATCGACATATATCCTAAATTAAACATATCTATCCCATCCAAATCCTAAACTTATCTGAAAGAGATGCCCAACTATGAACACCTCCTTCCAATCCCAATCCTAAAATAATTGAAAACTAACATTGACAGGTGCAAACTATCCTGTAATATCAACAGTAGGGAAAGGGGGCATAATATTCTCAAAATTACTTCCTGCTGAAATGGGACCATGACAATCTCATGGGGACCTGTGGGAAGAAAATATTAGTGTAACAAGAGTCTTAAGTAGGTTAAATAGTCTCTGTTTGGCAGGAGATGCTTGATTGAAGTTCTTGACTGAAGTTCTAATGTTGATTGGAGCTCTTGTCTGAAGCTCTGGCCGGATTGTAAGAAGTGCACTGTCTCAGTTCATTGGTCCAGAGTTGTGTTGAGAGATGTAGTTCCAAACCGGTTTCAGGATGGTATTAGTCAGGTGGAGTCGATGATGTGGGGCAGTTCAGATGCATCAAGTCAAATCAGGTGGAGTTGATGAAGTGAGGATTGCTGTTAAGAAATTCTTTGTTCTCTGGAAAACGCAAACATTAATGTTAACAGAGAAATTTTCAACTTTTATATGTATGCATACCAGGAAAGGCAACAATAAGGAAGACAGTAAACATAAAAGAGATTAGACTTTTAGAAAAGGAACCAAGTATACACAGATGACAGTCTATAATTTTGTTTTCTTCTGTGTTATATCAATGGCTCTTTGATATACTACAGAGATTCTGAATTTTATTTTAACAATATGCTTGGATTTAGAGTAGGAGAGCCAATCCAACTCCAAAGCTATCTTCAGTTAAATGAATTGGAACTAAAGAATATTAATAAGCAAAGAGAAATGGATATTATAAGAACAATATAGAGAGATTTAGACATTGATACCACATAGTGAATTATTGTTTGTTTGATGGTCCTCAGGGTAGCTATCCATTCTTCTTCAGGTATTCATACATCCAGTGTGTTTCGCTGTTTGGAGCTGAGTTTTCCTGTGAAGATAAAAACAAAACACTTCTCTATCCTTCTATGAGATCTCTTTACACCTAGTAGAATATGACCTTGTAGATGAGCTGTCATCTTTCCTCCTCCTGAGGTTTCTTCTGTTCAGATTGAATCTTGATTAATTTTTATGGAATCCGAAGATTTTTCTTCTCCTGTGAAAACAAAGGCAAAACCCCTTCCCCAATGTAACACATATCCTGGTTTCCAGATTGAGGTAATTACATCCTTGAAATACACTGGTTGGTTTAGTTCAGAAGTTTTTTCTGTAGTCCACTGTCTTTCTGCAGCTGTTTGTCCTTTTTCATTAGCATTAAGAAAGTTCAAAAAGAGTTATGTAATCTGTGTTTGGGGACCTTTGTTCCCCCTGGCTGTTTATGAAGCATTTCTTTTAAGGTGTGGTTAGATCTCTCAACCACTGCTTGTCCTGTAGGATTGTGTGGTATACCAGTTACATGTTTTATGCTTTGAATAAGATTCATGAACCAGGAGAAAAAGTTGAACCATATTCAAAAGTGGTACAGGGTCCAAGAGTAAGGTTCCCTGAATGCTTACAAAGATTATCCAGAGCAGTAGATTTACAGGTAACTGATTCAAATACTAGGCGACTTCTTATAGAATCCTTAGTTTATGAGAATGCAAGCCCGATATGCAAACAGGTACTGTGACCATTAAAGGTCAGATCAACACCATTGAAGGAATGGGTCTTGTACACAGCTATTATTGAGTATAACGGTCAAGAGACAGGAACCTGGGTAAGAGAGGCCATTTCTAAAGGCTTAAAGAGGCATCAAGATGACAAATGGCCTAACTGTGAGGAAATACAGACCTGGGTTAGGGAAGCAATCTTCAGAAGTTTTAAAAAAAACATCAAAACACTAGATGTTTTAAGTGTGGTAGAATAGGACATCTGAGTAGGAACTGTAGACAAAGCATTCCTAGAAATAATGCTTCTCTCAGGAATGCTTCAAACAGAAGGCCTTAGCCTTCTGGTTTGTATAGGAGAAGTGGCAAGGGAAGACACTGGACCAATGAATGTAGGTAGACCACAGACAAACAAGGTAACCCTCTATAATCAGGAAACTTCTCAAGGGGTCTCTCGAAGGCCCCCATGTCAAAAGTGATCCAGACATTCCCAGTCACTGTAGAGGAAGATTTCTCTCAGGACAATTAGAATATCTACTACCTATTGTAAAAACTAATGGCACTGTAAATGACAGATTAGTTATTGAGGAGGAACCAGTCGATACTAGAGAAAGAACTTACACACAAGCTTGGAAGATCAGAAGCATGGCAAGCTTCCAAGAGGCTTTTACTTTTGCTTTCCTGTTATCCTCACCTGTGCCCATCCCCTGTCCATGCCTCTTTGGGCATAGACAATATTGTTGGCTCACCTCTACAATGATTATTGCTGTTTATGCTTTTCCATAAACACTTTCTGAATTAAATTCTATTATTGGTTGTATACACAGAAAATGATAGCTGCAGAGGCTCTGGTCTATCAGTGGTTTCAGGCATCCACTGGGGGTCTTTGCATCTATCTCCTGGGGACAGAGGAGCACTTTTTTAGATACATGCACTGCCTGTCAATTAAGAGTTCCCCTGCCTTGCCTCTGTTCTCTCTTGCTTCATCCATAGGTGGGGGATTTTTGTGAGGAGGAATGAGCAATGGAAGCACAAAGCCTATAATCAAAGGAGGGAGGCCCCATCCTCCCCCAGGACTTCAGGACAAAACTGAGAGAGGGGAGACTTCCAAGTTCAGAGTTTTTGCTGTGGAAAAGAAGGAACAAAACACACTAATGGCTCAAAGAAGAATGTGTTCTCATGACCTCATGTGAGGGGAGGTACTATGTTTGCTTAGTCTTCCTTTCCTTTTTGGCGGTCAGATCACACAACATGTGAATGGGTAGAAATTTAGGAAACTTAACATACAGACTCCTAGGGTATGGTTTTGTTTGCTTTTGACAGAATCTTACTGTGTATGCCGGGCAGGCCTCAGAAATTCACCATCCTCCTACCTTGCTGCCTCAACCTCTAGAGTGTTAGGATTATAGCTATATAATACTTTGCCTGCCCACACAGGTTTCATATTAGACTAACAAGTAGTTGGTGGAAATATGGGGCATAGGGTGGTTTTGACTTAAAACAAGAAGAATTTGAGGATGAAGAGATGGTTCAACAGTTAATAATATTCACTGCCCTTTCAAAGGACCAGGGTTCAATTACCAGTACCCACTTGGCAGCTCATAACTGACTGTAACTCCGGTTCCAAAGCCCTCCTCTGACCACTGAGGGGTCTTAGAACAGATTATTTATGAGCATAACAAACTTATCCCTGCTGATTTCATCTTTAAAAAATTAGTGATCTTGAAATTTTGGAAACCTCTTTATGAGCAAGAAGGTTATAGAAAGGTTAAGGTTCTCTAGGGAAAGGGTCAACGCACTTCATCCTGTGCCAGAGACGCATGGCACACAGTTGGACTTGCCAGGACACAGGTCACTGCATCGTGTTCTGAGAACTTCTCTTTTATTCAGTTTGAGATAGGAACAGGGAAATCATTTATTTACATATCTATTTATGGGGCCTATATACACATATAGATGTAAATATGGGTGTGTATACACATGCATGAGAGTGCACATGAATATGTGTATGTGTAGATGTGGAGGTCAGAGATTCACATCAGATATATTCCTCATTTGTTCTACAACTTTTAAGTGCTAATTTAATTTGTTACTATTGACTTTATGTTCTGTATGTGTATGCACACATATGATATGTATGTGGGGATGGTGCTGTGGTTAAGTGTGTGTGAGAAGACCAGAGGACAACTTTGTGGAGCCAGTTTTCTTCTTCAACATGTGAGTTACTGGAATTGAATTCAGGTCACCAGGCTTGTGTGGCCTGGGCCTTCACCCACTTAGCCACCTTACCAACTTTCACCTTAGTTTTTGAGACAGGGTCTCTCGCTGAACCAGGAACTTACTGATTTAGCTAGGATAGCTGGCCAATGATCTCCAGAGATTCTCCTATCTGTTTCTCCAGCCCTGACATTACAGGTATACACCACTGCATCTAGCTTTTTCATAGGTATTGAAGATGGGAACTCAGGTCCTTACCTTGAGCAGTAAGAACCTTAGCAACTGAGCCATCTTCCTAGCCCTCAGGAGTTTTAGTTCTTCCAAATTTCCAGGTGATGCTGCCAGACTGGGTACCATGCCTAGAGAACTACTCTGCTGAAAAAACGAGAAATAGCAACATAATTATGACCAAGTTTTGTGTTCATTTTTACATGAATACTATGAAGTTAAGCTTAACAGAAAGTATGGCCAATATAGATCATCCTTCTGGGTTCTTTAGAATCACCTAGAAGACCAGGCTCTGGGCATGCCTGTGAATGATTATTGATATTAGGTTAATTGAATTGGGACAATGGATCTTAATTGTGGGGGCACAATTCTTGGGTCGAGGGTTCTAGACTGACTGAAAAAGAAAAAAGTGAATGGAACATGAAAATTCATTACTCTTTTCCTGATTGTGAACGTGGTGTGAGCAGCCACCTCAAGTTCCTGTTGCCATGACTTCCACACCGTGGTGGACTGTACCATTAAACTGTGAGCTGAAATAAACACTTTTCTTCCCAACTTGCTTTTGTCGGGGTGTAACAGGAAGACTGACATAGTTCTCTTCCAGGACTGTCTATGAGGAATGTTTGTTTATTTCCATGTTGCACTTATTTAATCAAGCTTTCCTGTAAAGAGGATGATGGAGCAAAAATGCAAATCTGGAGTTTTAAAGGTGTGAAGGATCTCACTGAGTTTGCCATCTCAGCTTCTTCTATACAAAGGTAGATGAGAAATTGCTACTGGATTTTGTTGATGTCTTTATGTCAACATTATAGATTTTAATAATTGCAAAACAGAAATATAATTTTCAGTAACCAAATAAATCAAAAATTTTAGACTTAGGTATATTAGACCAAGGTGTGCATATAAGAGGAGCTGAGAAATGAACTTCTGTCAGTACCCTTTATAACATAATAGTGAAAATTCTTCCGGGCAGTTGACTCAAAGGTGGGAAGGTCTGTTTTGGCTCTGCAGCTCCCAGTCCATGAAGGAGTGGCCACTTTGCTTTGGTCTTTGTTGAGGCAGCACAACAGTGAGAGACAGAGTACACTCATCCACTCATGAACTAGGAAGTGAGGAGGGGACTAGGAATTTGTAATTCCTTTCAGAGGCATATTCCCAGTGACCTGAACACCTGTCTTGAGGCTTTACATGCTCAGAGCCCACAGTACCTTTAGCTGCGTCCTACAAGGCTTGCTCCTGGAAACCTGAGTAGGGTGTCGAGGGAGTAAAGAAAGGACAGACACTAAAGAAAGAACAGACATATGTACAGAAAAGCTGGGATCTGATGGGCTATACTTGTTCTGATGGAGAGCACCAACTGCGACAGCAACCCTTGTTAAGAGAAGCTTTATCTTGCTAGCCGCTTTGGTATATCACCCGCCAGTCGCCTGGGCTCTGCCACATTGTAGTCCCCAAATAACACACAAGACGATGCATTAATTATGAAGCTGTTGGCCTTTGCTTGTTTCTTACTGGCTAGCTCTGACTTAAGTAATTACCCCATAATTGCTAATTTAAGTATGTTTCTTACCGGAGAATAGTTCCGGGCTTCCTATCCCATGGCGGTTACATCTCAAACTCTCCTGCGTTTCTCCTTCCCAGAATCCTCCTGGACTCCTAGTCCCTCCTATCTAGATTCCCTATAGGCCAGACAGTGCTTTATTGACAAATAACAGGCAAATAACAGGACTTCCCCAACAAACCCTAAACTTCAGGGAGTTTATTTCATCCGTTTGAGTGGAGGAGGCAGGCTTATAGCATACAGCTGAATACAGGGAGTGGGTTATCTAATCATGTTAGGGGGTCTCTACAGATTGGTCTCCATCTGTGGTCCTCCCAGAGGAGGAAGCTGCGGATGATAGTTTATGTGTACACTGGCAACATTTGCACTTGGACTAGAGGAAGGTTTTGCCATCCCTCTGTGCCTCACCTGAGGAAGGGTTTACCTCTCCCATGGGTCAGAGGCATTTGGGTTCTTGACATGGCTGTGCCCATATCAACAGCACACATTCTCTCCACTCCCCACAACCTCCTAATGGCACCACACTGGGAGCAGAACCTTTCACACCTGGACCCATATTTGGAAGCACTTCCCATATTTAAACCACAGCAAAGCTTGTATTGGATAGTCAAAAATGCTAAACATTATTTTCATATTGGTAAAAAGGTGATTATGATCATGAAAGGTTAAAACACATTCTATTTTTCAAAACCAATGAAAGGGAGAATTTCTATATTAGTGGATTAAGTAAAGGGATCTTAAGAAATTGAAGAAGTGGCTTAGCAATGATTTTTTTAATTGCCTTATTTCATTTTTAGTCCCAACATTCATATCTGCAATCTTATCTAATCTGAGACAGCCTGGCTTTGTTGGCTAACTAAGTGAAGTTTGTACTCTAGAAAGAAGGTAGAATACAAACAAAAGAGCTGGGAAGTAACTTAAGCAAAGGAATTAGAATTTAGTGGATTAGTTAAGGTATAAGTATACTGATTTATTTTGACAATTTTTTAATGTACCTAACAAATTAATAAGACTCATGCTTACAAAATCTTTGGAACATCCACCTAATTTTAACATAGAAATAAATGTTTAGGTAAATAGAAAATTAAATTTGTTAAATTAATAATCATTGTAAGAATTTCCAGCACAGGGCCTTGGACACGGGAGGGAGTGCTCCACCACCGAGTTCCACTCCACTCCTTACATCTTGTATTTAATGGAGATGTAATAACTTTCCTTTAACATTGAAGTTTAGAAAATTATATTGCTACTTAGAGAAACTTCAGTTTCTTGAAACTAATGGCCATTACAATGCTATGTATGTGATAATGACATTGAAGATTCAGTATTGTACACATTGGCCAGGTGAGGGCCCAAATGATCTCTCCTACAGAGAAAAGGATAATGTTTATTGAGCATCGAACATATTTTCACTGAGAGATTCCTTTTTCCATTGATAACTTTCTGCTTGTGTCATTTCCATGAAGGTTCTGCTGATTCCCTGTAGCTTCTTGCTGAGGCCGTAATCCATGTTGGCTCCTAAAAGACATGATTACTTATTACCCGTGACCATTCTTTAGTTTCGAAAAAGAACAAATGAACTGTGCATTCACTATAGTTTTGTAAATGTATTTGGTCAAAAGGAGGATTCTTGGCTGTGTGCCAGTAACGGACTTTAGGGACCTTGTTTAGGGTCATTTGCCTGATTTTATAGAATTGGCTTGGGCTGAAGAGATGACTCAGGGTTAAGAGCACTTGCTTCTCATACAGGGGATTCAGGTTAAGTTCCCAGCAGTTACAACAGGCAGCTCACAATGGTCTCTAGCTCCAGCTTCAGGGGGTCTGACTCCCCTCTTCTGGTCTCTGCAGGCACCAGGAAGCATATCGTACTCATATAGACACAGAGATATACGTATACATAAAATAAAAATAAAGCATCTTTTTAAATTGGTTCAACTTTAGTCTCAAGATGAAGTTTACAAAAAGCCACCTCAAGGAAGGACCAGGATCCCTGAGAGGCCGTGGTGTGAACAATGAAGAAAAAAGACCTGTCCTGTGTGTGTACTAATCTGATCAACTTTATCATGCCACTGAATTGAAAGTCATCTTGGGAAGTCACTTGGCAGGCAAACCTGGAAACCTCTGGTTCAGAAAACTAGCAGGTAGATGGTGATTCTAGCCCGTGTTTTATTTTCTTCTTTCTCTTTTCCTTTTTTCTCCCTTCTCTTGCCTTCTTTCATTTTTGGCGATGGAAGATTTATGCCGTTCAGCACTCACAGAGGATGTTTTCATAGGCTCTAATGAGGTCCCAGCAGTTTTTAACAATAACAGGACATTACTGTTTCTAAGATATATTATGTGTTTTTCCTCATCTTTCTCCCTTGAATGAAATGTAGAGAAGCATGCTAACTCCCAATTCCCATTCCTTTACTCTGACAAATGGTTCAGTTACTTAATAAGGCTAACTACCTTGCTGCGATTTTTATACACTCATTTAAATAAAATCTCCAGAAGAGCATACTTTGCATGTGTTTTCTGTTGGATTACCTGAGTTCACGTGAACAGCTGTTTCTTAGTGGCTGTGGAAGTCTTGTCTAATGCCGCTCTTGCTACTTCTGCATTCTAAGGATGTCTTGTGCAGTTTGCTGACCCTTGAGAGCTGCCCCTGAGAATGTGCCAAGTCTTCTTGCTCCGTTTTGTTTTACTATCACAGAATACCTGAGTCTGGGCAATTACTAAGGAAATGAGGTCTCACTGGCTCACTGTCCTGGAAAGTCTAAACGCATGAGCTGAGGGTGCTGGACATGCTACAACTCAGGGGCTAAGCAGGTGCATGCAGGAGGCATACACATGTGAGAGAAGAAGAGATTTAAGAAAATTGAACTTGACTTTTACCAATCCATTTTGATGAAATAATTCAGTCCCACCAGACCTGACATGTTCCCTCAAAAGTATTGCTCCCTTCCCTAGGAAAGGTTCAGGGAGCCACCTTCAGAGCCTCACAATGGAGTAGAGTCTTCCAGCACATCAGCCAATGGAGAACAAAATACAACCAAACCACAGTGCCAGCGTCCTCCTACGTTTTGGGAGCAGTCCACAGTGTCACCCATGGCTTCAACGCTATGGGACTCACTCACTTTTCTGAGCTGTCTGGGAAGGTCAGCCTTCTCTAATCACTGTGTTGCAAGCCATGTCTGTAGAGGGGTTTTTAAGGGAAATGCACTTTCAACAAGAGAGAGCCTTGGCCTTGCGTGACTTAACTTGGGCACTCCCGGCATTTGTTCTTGTGTGGTGACTGCTTTTGGAGCCAAGTCTAGAGGTATTTTTTTTTCTTCTTAAAGGTCAGACAGATTAGACATACGCAAAAAAAAAAAAAAAAAAAAGAAAGGAACCAAGATGTGGCCCACAATGTAACAGAGAGATTCCAATGAAATCAGGCATTTTCCTCTGAGAAACACAAGAGTGTAGGGAAAGCTTTACAGCAGCAGGTGGGGGCGGGGTGAGGGCCCCGGGGGGGGGCACCAGGCAGGAAAGCTCACAATCTGTATTAGTGTGTTCTATTTTGGTTCTGGGTTGGGGCTAGCTTTGGAGCTTGGATCTGTGGCTTTCCCTCTGCCCTGAAATTAACTTGTTATAAATGGACGAGTTGCGTCTCCCACCCAGCAAAGGAACAAGCTTGAAAAACCATTCTGGGAAATGTGCTGAATCATTTGTTCCAGGCACAGAAAGTCACCATGCCCCGAGAAATGGACCATTGGAAAAGTCTCTGGGACAAGCACCCTGATTCTACGGCTTTCACCTACTGCTCATGTTATTTGGGTTTGGTTTCTACTAATAAAGTCTCCTGAGAGACTGTCTGAAGGCCGCTCTTAAAAGGCCTTCCCTTCCTGGATTCCTCTGGGACAGAAACCACAGAGCTATTTGATCTGTCTGTGATACCTCCGTTTTCTGGGCAACCGCTTTTACTCTTTGCAAGTGTGTTTGCTCTCTCTCTCTCTCTCTCTCTCTCTCTCTCTCTCTCTCTCTCTCTCTCTCTCTCTCTCTGTCTCTGTCTCTGTCTCTCTCTCTGTCTCTGTCTCTGTCTCTCTCTCTCTGTCTCTGTCTCTCTCTCATCTCTCTCTCTGTCTCTGTCTCTCTCTCATCTCTCTCTCTCTCTCTCTCTGTCTCTCTCTCTGTCTCTCTCTCTCTCTCTCTCTCTCTCTCTCTCTCTCTCTCTCTCTCTCTCTCTCTCTCTCTCTCGGATACTGATGGGTTGTTCCAGGAGCACTGACATTCTATGCTGAACGCTGCGTGCTCTGTGCAGGTCTGACGCCAGTTCTGTGAGGTAGGCACTCCTTGTGTTACTTCACAGTCTGGTTCTGGCGACCCATTCTACATATGGCGCAGTGCACCCTTGGGTGGGAAGGCAGTGCTGATGAGGTTGTGGGTAGCTCCGGGTCCTGGGTGCTTTACCTCATTCAGTCATCGTTTTATCCTTTCACTTTTTCCAAATGAACAGTCTGTCCAAAAAAAGGATCAAATGGAAAACTTTATAAATACTCTAAATGATGGAAACAGGAAGTGGAGTAAAAATGATGTAGCTATTCACAGAAAGCATACTGCCATTTTTTTCCTCTGTAAATATATACTGTTCATTCCAGAAGGGCTGTACCTAAAGAAGGAAAGGCACAGCACAGTGACTTAGTGACTGCTCAGGAAAGCTGCCTTGGGTGAGTGGAACTCCTTGGGGAGATATAGTTGGGACGTGACTTCTGGATCAGGGAAACTTCTGGAAAAAAACAGTTTTGCTTCCCACATCAGAGATTCAAAGTGATGCCTTGTGGAGTAATAGCTGAGTCCATTTTCTGTGGCTACAACAAACTGCTCCAGACCAGTTCCTTTTTATTTAATTTTTACTTTTATTGATTCTTTGTGGATTTCATATGCATTCTGATTCCCCTTATCTCCTTGTCCCCTCATATTCACCCTCTGCCCTTGTAACCCCTCTCCCCTGCCAATAAAATTAAATTTAAAAGAAAATAAAAAACAAACAAAAAACAAAAGCAAAAACAAACAAACAAAAAGAGAGAAGTATCTTGTCGTAGAAGCTGTAGTGTGGTCTGTTGAGTCACACAGTTTACCCTTTAGTCCTTTTATCTTTTACTTGCAAGTGTTCATTGCCAGGAGTCATTGGTGTAGATCAAAGCCTCTGACTTCCGCTATGCCACTGCCACTGACAACTGGTTCTCTCTGGAGTTCTTCCTGGATAACCTGTTGTTGTCCTGTGTCATGGAGATCCTGTTGTTTTGGATTTGTAGGCTCAGCCCCTTCACATTCTCCAATAATTCATGGATGAGGTAGATGTTGGGGTATACCAACTCATAGCCGGGGTTCTGGGTGGTAGCTGGGTTGGTCAGCCTGACATGCTCCCTCATGGTCTCTACCCCAGTGAGCTCTCCAGCACTGCCTCGGCTAACTCTCCTAATGCAGCCTGCAGCAAGGAGTGGAGCCAATTCTGCTCTCAGGTCCTCAGATCTGGGTCACCCACACTCACACCACCAGGGCTAGCTCTACCGTTTTGCCCAGGTGAGGTGCAGGGCCCTCTCCCGATTGCGGTAGGGGACAAACAGGGGAAGGGGTCAGCACTCCTGCTTTCATACCCTCAGGCCTGGCTCACCTGTGCACTTGACAACAGGGTCAGCTCCAGCGTGCTGACCAGGGCCCTGTTCTCCTGTGTGTTGCAGCTAGTGAGGGGCAGGACTAGTTCACTCACTCTTAGGACTTAGGACGCCAGGGCCAGCTCTCTCACCTGCCACAGGTGGTAATGGGGGAGGTCATGGCACATTAGGTGGAGGCAGTATGCGGGTTCCTTATAAAGAAAAAAAAGCTCATGTAGGTCTGTGGGAAGCTGTGTTTGCAGGGCTACAGTAGTAGCCAGCTGACTTGTCCAGGGTTTGCACCTGTGAAGGGGAGTATGCTTGAGAAAGGCTAGCTAAAGATATTAAAAGAAAAGACAGAGATCTAGGATAGCAGGATGTCAGGAGGGCAATTCAGTCAATACTGACTGCCCCAGGTTATTTTTCACCATTCTTAAATACTTTAACCAAAAAAGGGGAACATGGTATCATGCATATGGAAAAAACAGACATTTCTTCCTCAATTCTCCAAGGATTCAGTAACCACACCCTATATTTAAATCTCTCATTATCTGGTCTTGAGGGTCAAGAGTAACCATGCCTCATACCAAATCTGTTGTTATTTAGATAAGACACCCAAGACCAAGATCAAACATCCTGCTGTAGCCACACCTTTGACCTTTAGGTCTTATGACTTACTGGGGACAGTTTTGAACTCTCTGACATTTAGTCAAGATCGAGTGGGTCAGTCTTTATGGGCCCTGACATAGGTCATCGCTCTGTATTATGTTGGAAATGCACCGCACCAAATCTCTATCTACTTGGTATTCATTCTGTTTTAAAATGTTCTGATTGAAATATATATGAAGGAAAAAAAGCCTCATACAGATAAATACTTGTGGAGGGGAGTATTTAAATAGTCTTTTGGATGCTCATTTATTTTCTTTGACCCAACATAATTTTAGAAAAATTTTAGACAGAGATACCATGCATGGTAGATAATGCATATTCCAGAAGCCATGGCTTATTCAAAGAAAATACAAGCTTCAGGGGTGGGCTACATCCCTAGTAGTTATTAGAATGGAAGCCTGCAGAGGCCTTCGCACACCATAAAGGTTATGATCATTGTCCTTGGTTGCTCATCAAAACTGGATGAGAAGGTCTATTTCTGAAAATCCTATGCATTTTAACTGCAGAAAACCAAGAAGCCATGCTGGACTAAACTGGAAGATTCCTCTGTGCTGGCTCCCTTCACAGTGCCATAAGTGGCTATGCAGGCAGCTGGGAGATAAATGTCAGCAATCAACTTACCAAGCCATAGACATTGCATACTACAATACCAAATTGCCAGGCAAAATGTGTTTACTGGTGCAATAATGGCAGAATGTTAAGGGAGGGAAACCAACTGATCTGATTGAGTATGAGCTAAGAAGGAGTTCATATCTGGTCCTGTGAACTTCATCAAAGACCTGTGACTGAGGAAGTCATGGGTAGTAGGGTTGAATCTAATACTCTTGTTTTGATAAATGTATACATTGTCAAACTGTATACTTACATTCATCACCATAGACCAATATTGCCCTTAGTCTTGGTCAAAGAGACTTTTCTTTGTAGCAAACAATGGTTTATGTAGAGATTTGTGGCTAATAAGGTGTTGAAAACAAGGAACTATCAAGTGTCCATCCCTAAGTGGAACATTCATAACACCTACTTCAAGGCCCAAGGAACACTGTAGAAGAGGTAGTGGGAAAAATGTGAGAGCCTAATGCTGGAAAGGAGGGCCATGAAATTCTGTTTTCTGGGCACACATGTCATGGCTGTGACACTCAAGAACTTATAATAGCTGTGGTGCCTTCATAAGGTCTGAGCAAGACTGAGCCCATAAAGATTCAGCCACATAAGAGGTCCTACCCCACCCTTCCCAGGATGCTGAGGGCATAGGTAGTCATTGGTTTCAGTGATGTAGTGATTAGTGAGTTATTCATGCTCTGGTGAATACCTTTAAACCCATGCCTAAGTGAGTGGTTCGGGTCAAAACCAGCAGATCACAAAAGCAAAACCAAAAAGACATGAAAGTGGGTGGGATGAGTGACTTGTGGGAGGGTTGTGGTAGGAGGGGAGGAAGGGAAGAGAGAGTGAGAGGATCGGTATGACTAAAACATATTATCTATATAAACAAAACTGTTGAATGGATAAATTAATAGAATAAACAAATGATACTCTTTGTCTGTTTTGACACAAGATATGACTGTATTGATTCCCAGGCCAGTCTTACCCTCACAGCAATTTTCCTGCCTCGCCTCTCAAGTGCTAAGATCACAAGCATGTGTCACCATGCCTAACACAAATGATAGTTTATAAAGGTTATTTTCAAAGCTGAATATAAGCAATATTTGGCATTTTGTTATATTGTTTTGGCCTGCATGTCTGGTGTTACTAGCGACATAGGATTCAGTAATAATGCTTACTGGTCACTCTGAAAATGTTTTATGGTGGTTCTCCTACTTTCATGATGTTGAATGTTTAACTTATGAAACTAAAATGTCACATTTCTCAGTATCAGCATCAATGTCCTTATAAAACATTCTCAGATTTAAACTGGCCATGTTGGCATATCCCTGTAGA